TCCCCCTGCTTGCGTTCCGTCTCTCTCTATGTCTCTGTCAAAGAAATAAAAATCATTTTTTTTTAAGATCTTATTTATTTATTTGACAGATAGAGATCACAAGTAGGCAAAGAGGCAGGCAGAGAGAGACAGAGAGAGAGGAGGAAGCAGGCTCCCCGCCGAGCAGAGAGCCTGATGCGGGGCTTGATCCCAGGACCCTGGGATCATGACCTGAGCTGAAGGCAGAGGCTTAACCCACTGAGCCACCCAGGCACCCCAAAGAAATAAAAACTTAAAGAAAAGAAAAGAAATTTCCAAACTGTTTTCCAAAGTAGTTTTAGCATTTTACCTTCCCACCAGTAACAAAGGAGAGTTGTAGTTGTTCTCACCCTTGTCAACACTTGGTATAATCTTTATTTTAAACTGCTGTATTTTATTTGCTTCTTTGTTTTTAAGGGGCTCAAACTCATTACGCAGATATCAAAGGTCACATGCTCTACTAGCTGAGCCAGCCAGGCACCCGGGTATTGAGAATCTTTAGTTTCAGCTGGTGAAGTGGTGTCTCAGTATGGTTTATTTTACATTTCCCTGATGACTAATGATGTTGAGAGAATCTTTTCATCAGCTATAGCTAATCTCTTCTTTAACTGATACTGACAAATCCCTTTCCAGAGAAGTTGTGCTAATTAGTAATTCCACCAACAGTGTCACTTTTTTTTTAAGTAATCTCTATACCCAACATGGGGCTTGAACTCACGACCTCATGATCAAGAGCAGAATGCTCTGAAGACTGAGACACCCAGGTGCCCACTAACAGTATCACCTTTTATTTTATTTTTTTTTTAAGATTTTATTTATTCATTTGACAGACAGAGATCACAAGTAGGCAGAGAGAGGGAGGAAGCAGGCTCCCTGCTGAGCAGAGAGCCCGATGTGGGGTTGGATCCCAGCACCCTGGGATCATGACCTGAGCTGAAGGCAGAGGCTTTAACCCACTGAGCTCCCAGGTGCCCCCAGTATCACCTTTTAAAAATGTTTTCCAGGGGTGCCTGGGTAGCTCAGTGGGTTAAAGCCTCTGCCTTCTGCTCTGGTCATGGTCTCAGGGTCCTGAGATCCAGTCCCGCACCAGGATCTCTGCTCGGCAGGGAGCCTGCTTCCCCCTCTCTCTCTCTGCCTGCCTCTCTGCCTACTTGTGATCTTTCTCTGTCAAATAAATAAATAAAATCTTAAAATAAAAATAAAAATGTTTTCCAGTTTGCTATGTGAAAAATGGCATCTTGATTTAATTTGAATTTTTTATTACTTAGGAAGTTGAACATTTTTTTTTTAAAGATTTTATTTACTTATTTGACACAGAGTGAGATCACAAGTAGGCAGAGAGGCAAGCAGAGAGAGGAAGCAGACTCCTTGATGAGCAGAGATCCCGATATGGGGCTTGATCCCAGGACCCTGAGACCATGACTTGAGCCGAAGGCAAAGGCTTAACCCCCTGAGCCACCCAGGCACCCCGAAGTTGAACATTTTTTAATGTTTAGTGCCTTATTTATTCTTTTATAAAGTCACTGTTCGTGGCCTTTGCCCATACTTGTATTGTAGACCTCTTCTTTTGAATAGTGAAAATTCTTTATCCTGACTTAGGAGATGCAAATATCTTCCTGTTTTGTGACTTTTTTTTTTTTTTTTTAATATTTTATTTATTTATTTGACAGACAGAGATCACAGGTAGGCAGAGAGGCAAGGCAGAGAGATGAAGGGAAGCAGGCTCCCTGCCGAGCAGAGAGCCTGATGTGGGCCTCAATCCCAGGACCCTGGGATCATGACCTGAGCTGAAGGCAGAGGCTTTAACCCACTGAGCCACCCAGGCGCCCCCCTGTTTTGTGACTTTTAATTGTGTTTATCTTTTCGAAGTAGTCGAACAATATTCTTTTCTGATTCCTTTCATTACTTTTTTTTTTTTAATTTATTTATTTGTGAGATAGACAGAGGCAGCACAGGGGGGAGGGGCAAAGGGAGAGGGAGAGAAGCAGACTCCACTAAGCACAGAGCCCAATGTGAGGCTCAATTCCATGACCCTGAGATCATGACCTGAGCCAGAATCAGTCCAAAGCTTAACTGACAGAACCACCCCGGCACCACCCTTTCATTACTTTTGAGCCGTGGAAGTACTTACCCGAATTAACTAAGTTGTGTTTGATCTGGTAAGTGAGGGGGAGGGAGCATCAGCATCTGTTGGGATATATTGGCTCTGGAGTTACCACAATTAACCAGGTAAGATAACTTCTTCATTTTCTTCTAGATTTCTTCTTTTATGTTTTACATGTAACTTTTTTTTTTTTTAAGATTTATTTATTTATTTGACAGACAGAGATCACAAGTAGGCAGAGAGGCAGGCAGAGAGAGAGGGGGAAGCAGGCTCCCCGCTGAGCAGAGAACCTGATGTGGGGGGTGGGTAGAGGGGAGGGGGCGAGGAGGGGGCCTTGATCTCAGGACCTTGAGATCATGACCTGAGCCCAAGGCAGAGGCTTTAACCCACTGAGCCACCCAGGAGCCCCACATGTAACTCTTTAAAGAAGGTTCACTTTATTATTTTTTATTTATTTATTTTTAAAGATTTTATTTATTTGACAGAGAGAGATCACAAGTAAGCAGAGAGGCAGGCACAGAGAGAGAGGAGGAAGCAGACTCTCCACTGAGCAGAGAACCTGATGTGGGGCTCGATCCCAGGACCCTGAGATCATGACCTGAGCCGAAGGCAGAGGCTTTAACCCACTGAGCCACCCAGGCGCCCCTAGGTTCACTTTATTTTGATGCTATAGAGATTACTTAAAAATAAAATCTTTTTTAGATTTTATTAGAGAGAGAGAGAGAGAGAGAGCGCGCGCATGCACAAGCAGGGGGAGGGGCAGGGGAAAGGGAGAAGCAGACTTCCCGCTGAGCAGGGAGCCCAATGTGATGCTCCATCCCAGGGCCCCAGGATCATGACCTAAGCTGAAGGCAGACATTAACTGAGTGAGCAACCCAGGCGCCCCAAAAGTAAAATCTAAAAAAAAAAAAAAAAAAAAGTAAAACAAAAATCTCTGGGGCTCCTGGGTGGCTATCAGTAGAACATGCACCTCTTAATCTCGCAGTTGTAAATTTGAGCCCCATGTTGGGGCTCAAATAAAATCTTAAAAAAATAAAAAATAAAATAGTTTGATGTTATAGAGTGGCTCCAACTTGAGATCCAAGTGATAATTTCCTACTACTACTATTATTGAAAAATCCATCTCTTCACAGTAGTTTCCAAAGTTTGCTTAGTATTTTTGTTTTTAGCTATCCTGTTCTTCCAGATGAATTTTAACATCTCTGCTGCAGGGACCAATTTAATTTGCCCTTTAGAAATTTGCTCTGTTTGACAGAAGTGTGGAGTTCTCATTACTTCTTAAATGAAGAACTTCTTCAGGATATCTGAACAATTCTCTTGGGTGGAAACCTGATGTCAAAACCCAAGGAAACAGAACCAAATTAAATCCAGCTTTCAAGGTGCTCCTGCCTCGTTGGGGTTACTACGAATAGCCTTAGGTCAAAATTCCAAGACTTAATTCAGGGGATGACTCCAGAGTATATCCCCAGATCTCCTCCCAATACATAAATCTATATTAATGGAGATTTAGGCTTCAACCCTTCTAATCTTTTAAGTGGGAGCTGTCCAAAAGAACTTTCTGCTATGATAGAAATGTCCTATGCTACCATGTCCAATAAGGTAGACACTAGCCACAGGTAGTTGATGAGCACTTGAAATGTGGCTAGTGCACTCGAGGAACTGAATATTCAAATTTTTAATTCTATTTAATTTAAATATGTGTAACCACATAAGACTTATTGGCCACAACAGTAACTGTTAAGATTGGATTGTCTGTTTTTCCTTGGATCTCAGTTTTGATATTACATTATCATGGCTAAACTCAAAATACTTTTTTACTTTGCCAGGCACTATACTCGGTGAGGGAAGACAGGCACAGTAAGACAGTTTCTACCTTTACAATTTAAGGAAAGAAAAGATCAGTTTTTAACCCAGAGATGAGCTAGACTGTTAGGACTCTCTAGAGACTTGCCCATCGTGTCCCACAGTAAGCCTGAGCGGGGCAGATGTCACTGCATCGAACTGGAACAGGGGGGTGCTTCTAGCAGAGTAGGTGACCCACAGGGCTTATTGGAAGGTCAGTTCCCTGCACATTGGAGGTCCCTAGAGTTGCTGCTCTTCCTTCTCTTAGAGGTGGAAAGGAAGTGAGGAGGCCCGGGGGCCAAGCCAGGTCTCACGCCATGGAATCTGAGGCCCGCCAACTATTGGACTGGAGCTGGCAGGACACGAACGGACTTCTTCCTATACTAACTGCACTCAACAAATGTGAAAACTGAAATGAGGGCTTAAATGAGTTTGGTGAATGGGATGGGGGGAGTAGCGTGGTCAGCTTGATAGGGACTCCCTAGAGACCGAGTGGGTGGAAGCCCAGAAGAAAAGGAGGGAGGACTCCCGTGAGGAGTGTTTGGGAAGACAAGGGCTCTCGGCAAGGTTGCCCCGGAGTGAGGGTGACAAGAGGCTCGCGGCCCGGGGAGCCCCTGCTCGGTCTCCGCGGCCGGGTCACAAGATGGCCGCTGCTTCGCCTGGGCTTTCCGTGCCGGACCCAGGGGCCGGAGGTAGGTGCTGCGGGCCGGGGCAGCGGCAGGCAGCCCAGTGGGAGTCAGCTGCGAGGAGGGCAGGCTGAGCAGAAGGGAAAACTGACCGTCGGAAGCAGGAGGGGAGAAAAGAAGCACGCGAGTACGGAGTGCGGCTGCGCGGGCCTCGGGCCTCGGGAGGAAGGGGAGAGTCGGGGTGGGCGACTGCCGGGGGGAGGGGGCGGGAGGTCAGGTGGCCGCGCCGAACAGGGCAGCCGGGCGGCGAGTTGGGTTTCGGCGGCGGCGGCAGCGCGCGCGGGCCGCCGGGAAGTTGGGAGAGCGGCGTGCGGGAGCGCGCACACGCGCGCACGCGGGACCGGGCCGCGAGCAGCCGCGGCCGCCGGGGTTGCCTTGCCGAGCCACCCGCGCTCCCGACTCGGCTCCTCAGGAGGGAGCGACCAGTGGGCCCGCATCGTGTCAGCGAGGTTCGAAGCCCGGCTGCCGTGGCCTCCTCCTTCTGGTACCTGGGCCGCCCGGAGGAGCCGGGGCCGGAGCACGGCGGGCTGACTGGCCCCGGGGAGCTGACACCGCTGGACACCAAGGCGGAGGTGCACGTCTGGCGGTCGCCTGGAGCCGGGAGGAGGCCGAGGGGACCATGTCCGGGAGGAACCACCACCTCTCCACCACCGAACGCGTCATCAAAGGTGCCGGACGGGCCGGGCCCTCGTCGTCCCCCGGCGGGAAACGGCCTTTGGCGGGGAGACGGCGGGGGGACGGAGGGCGGGGAGTGGCGGGAGGGCGGCCGGGGACCCCGGCTGCGTCGGTCCGCGGGGAGGACCGGAGGGGGTGTGAGAGAGGGGAGGGGGAGCCCTGCGGGGCCGTGCCCGGGCGCTTTCTGTCGCACCTCGATCCGCAGCTAGCTGGAGATTGCCGCTTTATCTCCCGGAGTGTGGGACCTGCAGGTGGGGTGGGGATTTCTTCTCCCGCCACCCCAAAGGGCCGGGATCCCCATCTTTTTAAAAAGAAACGATTCCTCTTTTCTCGTCTTTCATCTGGTGAAGCCATCTGGGGTGATGTGCGCAGGGACTTCAGTATATTCTTCCAAGTCACATCTTCCTGCCGCTCCCCTTCTTTAGGATCGGATGATCTCGCCCCTCCCCCACCCCCTTTTTAAAGGACGTTTACCGTGTACCTTTTGGCCCACTTTCTACAGATCACCCCAAGTCCCTGCTGTTATTAAAAGGAACAGTTTGGTGAAATAAATACAAATAAATCCATTTTGTGATGTGTGAAAGGGACTTACAGATCTCTTGACATGATGTTGGTGCTTTATTTTAGTTTTTGGCTGTGGAGACCTGAAGAAGGATGTTCTCTCATTCAGATATCTAACCAAAACTAAAATGTACTGTAGGGTTTTACGTTGTCCTTGTTTCTGGTCTTAAACTACTTATACTGGTTTAAACGTAACTACTAATTTATGCACTTCTTTTGTTCAGCGGTAACACTTAGGTACAACTCTTTGCTCTTGAGTTTTAACTATGGGGTTGAAAGCACTATTTTATAAGAAGGGAGTATACACCTAAGCGAGCTGTTAGTGGCTTCTGGATAAAGGGGTTAAGTGTAAGTGGGCAAAACTATTAAAATACTTTTATGTTTTCCTTTTGGTAATTAGAAGGAGAAAGGAAACGAAGATTGGTGACAATACTTTTTTTTTTTTAAGTGGAAAAGCCTATTGAATGTTCAGTGAAGGGGGAGAATTTTAGTGTTTAACTTAAATATTTTTCTCCCTAAAAAATGAATCATCATAAATTGATTTTCTACACTATTAATTTTAGTGTGTAACTTAGTTTCTTCCCCTCTAAAAAGTCAAGATCATAAGTGATGATCATAAACACTGATTACCTACATTATATAATGTTCAGTAGATATAATGGGGTTTTTGAGATATATCTACTCAGAGATCATCTGGTATTATTGAGGATTGAAGTGAATTGTTCATATAACTGACATTTTTTAGTCCTTTGTTGAATAATTTTTATCTTTTTAATGTCAGTTTTTATAGTATATAAAAGTATAAACCTTCTCTTAAGATAAAGAGTTTAAACCTTCTCTTAAGGTAAAGAATATACTAAACATAACCTTTTTTGATTAATCAAGGTCAGTTGTGTACATTAATTTCTGTCCTGTGCTGTTAACATGGCTGGTGCATTCTGCTGTTTAAGGGTGTTGGCAGTTTCCTTCTGTACCAAAATGACTGCTTACTGCTATACTGTTTAATGCTTCTGTCTGTTTTTTATCTCTTCCAGTACTGTTCTTTATCTGTCAAAATATGCCCTTCTGATCTGCTATTTCTAAGCTGAAGTAGGCAGGGAAACCAGATAAACCAGAATTGTGTGTCAAGTTAGAAGAAATAGGATCTCAGTGAAGCTTAGTGGCAGTCCTCAGACCTTTAGGAATCTCAAATTCTGATCGCCATTGTAGCATGTAATTTCCAACATAAGATGTCATAAGATATAAAGGAAATCTTAAAATAACCCTTTCAGACCCTTAAATATAGAAGTAAAGTGAAATGAAACATAGTTACAAGGTAGGTGCTGTCTTATTGCTAGGCACGCTCACAGTTAAGTAAACACTCTTATAGTCTGTATAATTTATGTTTTTTGGCCAAATTATAGATTACTGCATGTTGTATACTTATTATTTTTTTTGGCATGTTGTATGCTTATAAGATTACTCTTAAATAAATGAAGTATAATGCTTTCAAACCCTTACTTAGAATGTGTGGATTTATCTTAAATATAAAACTGTAGAGTAAGAACTTGACCACAGCAATCTTGGCTTCTCTGTGACTTATGTTGATTTTTTTCTGGGTTTTCCAGAGTTTGAAATAGTAGAGGTTTGTTCTAAGAAAGTAGGGTGTTACTGTTTGTGTAGCTAAGGTCCATTGTATTGGGTACTAAATCCTGATCTGATATTATCTTGACTGGCCAGAGTTGTCTGCATTTATTCACAGCTGGAAATCTTTTCAGAGGTGAGACCACACCCCAGTTATTTTTGGTTCTGTCATTTCCTGTTAACTTTAAAGTCTACTTAATTGTTTGGTTTGAACAAATCTTGGAGAATAGTGGGAGGGAGTGACTAGTATTTTAAGTGTCCTTTAAACAGAAACTTTCCTAAAATGAAGAAGTACTAGGTTTTACTGCAGCAGAAGCTTACTTGTGACCTTGCCTTTTTTTTTTAACCTTGCTTTTTCACTTAAACTCTCTCCCTTTTTTTTTCCTTCAGTAATCTCATGGGCAAAATAAGGTTAATAATACCTTCTTTTCAAGCATCTGAACCACGCAGAGATATAACTGACATGAAAAGCTTAAGACAGGTTGTATTATGAAACACGACAGTAGTTTGATAATAGGTCAGTTTCTACATAAGTGGTTAGTAGAGAAAACATTAACATTTTTATTTTATTTTATTTTTTTTAAGATTTTATTTATTTACTTGAGAGAGAGACAGTGAGAGAGAGCATGAGCAAGGAGAAGGTCAGAGGGAGAAGCAGACTCCCCATGGAGCTGGAAGCCCGATGTGGGACTCGATCCCGGGACTCCGGGATCATGACCTGAGCGAAAGGCAGTCATCCAACCAACTGAGCCACCCAGGCGTCCCAAACATTAACATTTTTTTTTTAAAAGATTTTATTTATTTATTTGACAGACAGAGATCACAAGTAGGCAGAGAGGCAGGCAGAGAGAGAGGAAGGGAAGCAGGTTCCCTGCTGAGCAGAGAGCCCGATGCAGGGCTCGATCCCAGGACCCTGGGATCATGACCCGAGCCGAAAGCAGAGGCTTTAACCCACTGAGCCACCCAGGCGCCCCTCAAACATTAAATTTTAAAAAAGATTTTATTTAGAGGGCGCATGAGTGTGGGGAGGAGCAGAGGGAGAGGAGAGAGAATCCAAGGAGACTCCAGGCAGAGCGCAGAGTCTAGCGCAGGGCTCCATCTCACAGCCCTGAGATCATGACTTGTGCTGAAATCAAGAGTTGGTTGCTTAATGGACTGAGCCACCGAGGCGCCCCTCATTAACATTTTTTAAAAAAGATTTATTTATTTATTTGACAGACAGATCACAAGTAGGCAGAGAGGCAGGCAGCAGGTGGGGAGGCAGGCTCCCCGCTGAGCAGAGAGCAGGAAGCTGGGCTCCATCCCAGGACTCTGAGATCATGACCTGAGCCAAGGTAGCTGCTTAACCCACTGAGCCACCCAGGTGCCCCTCATTAACATTTTTTTGAGAAATCATTAACATTTGAAAAATATCAGAATTATAAATTATGTGAAATAATAAGTTGGAAAACTGTTCCAGTCAGGAAAATACTTGTTCTGCAATTTATTTTTTTATTTTTAATTACAGCACCCAAAGGGACCCAATCCTCCTCTATGATTTAGAGGATGTCCAGGTGAAAACAATCCCATGTGTAACAACATGAAGAGAACAGGACAATTCTGTCTAGTACTTTCTTTTCTTTTCTTTTCTTTTTTTAATTTTATTTTTTATGAACATATAATATATTTTTATCCCCAGGGGTACAGGTCTGTGAGTCACCAGGTTTACACACTTCACAGCTGTCTAGTACTTTCTTAGCAGCTGGTTTCTTCCCTAGCAGTTGACGGTGTTTATTTTATGTTTAAAAATATAAAAATTCTTATGATTTCATTCATTCATTAAGTGTTTATGGAGAGCCATCTGCAGTGTATGCCAATAAGTGCTCCTTTGTTTCTTTTTGTTTTTAAAGTAACAGTTCTGTAGTGCCTCTAGAATAGTCAGTATGCACTGTGGCATCACTACTGGTTTCTAAAGTAGAAAAAACCCAGAAACTCAAATGACTGAATTGTGAAAATCTTTCAGCTTGATTTTCTTTCTTTCTTTCTTTCTTTCTTTCTTTCTTTCTTTCTTTTCTTTCTTTCTTTCTTTCTTTCCTTTTTTTTTGTTTCCAAGTTTTTTTTCTCCCCGCCCCCCTGCTGTTTGAGAGGATTTTTTTTCTTTGACAGTGATTTAAAAAAAAATGATTTGTTCCCCTGGGCTGAATCTTTTCAGAAGCAACAAAGAAATTTCACTAGGAATTACATGACAGATGTGGAGAATCCATTTTTGGTAGCCAAATGGTGTTTCACAGAAAAGTCAGACTTCTTTTCAGTAAGATGTTCATAGATTTCTCCAATTCATTTGTGGAATTCAAGTGTATTGTATTTTCACAGGATGTACTGTGTCATTTGTACCACACAGAGGCTACTGGTTCTTTAATATCTGCCAATGAGAATAGTGCGGCTATGGCTTTCTTAAAAGATTTTTAATAATCGTATGGACAAAAATTGCTATTTTCACGAGATTACCCTGAACCCTGTTTCAGTCTCTGGTACCTGTGCCTCATTTATTTCCACAGCTCTTGTCCCCTCTTGCCTTTTTTTGAATTATGAGAATGGATTTACCAAGGGTTTATATGGGTTTTTTAATTTTTTTGCTTTTCTTTTTCTTTTTATTATTAAATATTTTATTTTTAAGTAATCTCTACACCCAACCTGGGCGTTGAACTCGCAACCCTGAGATCGAGAGTCGCGTGTTCCACTGACTGAGCCAGCCAGGCACCCCTGTTCTTTTACTTTCTTAATAGGATTACAGTTTTTCAAAATATAATAAAGTTGGTGAGAGATAAAAATGAAAAAATGCAATTAATAATTGCCTCAGGACAGCTAGGCTTGGGAAAGGCCACCATCATATTTAAGGATTTGGTAGTGTCTTAGTGAGGAAAAGCTAAAAAGAAGAAAATGAGTTTTAAAGTATATTATACGTAGGGGCACCTGGGTGGCTCAGTCCTTAGGCATCTGCCTTCTGCTCAGGCCATGATCCCAGGATTCTGGGATCAGCCCAGGGCTCCCTGCTTGGTGGGAAGCTTGCTTCTCCCTCTCCCATCCCTCCCCCTGCTTGTGTTTTCTCTCTCGGTGTGTCTCTCTGTCAAATAAATGAATAAAATTTTTAGAAAAAGAAAAAAAAAAGTGTATTATACCTGATGTGAAGTGGAGGTAACTTGTTTAGCAGAAAAAGAAGTTGTTTTAGCTACACAGGGTTTGGAAAAACATGCAGAAGTAAGGATGGAGAAAAACAAAGTATAATTGACTGAGGAGTAGACAGGTGGGTAAAATTAGGAGTGTCAAAGAATTGGAAGAGGTAAAAGGAGGAAGAGGAGAAGAGGGATAGCCGAAAACCGTTAGGGCAGTTGATAGTGATTTCATTAAGGGAACAGCAAGATTATTTTGATGGCTGGGGTTCTTGGGTGACTCAGTTGTTAAGCGTCTGCCTTTGGCTCAGGTCATGATCCCAGGGTCCTGGGATGGAGCCCCTTGTTAGGCTCCCTGCTTGGTGGGAAGCCTGCTTCTCCCTCTCCCACTCTCCCTGCTTGTGTTCCCTCTCTTGCTGTCTCTCTCTGTCAAATAAATAAATAAAATCTTTTTTAAAAAGATTATTTTTGATAGCTATCTATTAAAAAAAACCAAAAGCTTAATTGACTTGCAAATATAACTCAGAATTACAGATGATTCAAATATCATAAAGATATTATGACAGTGAGACAGACTTGTTTTTATTTTATTGAAGAGATTGTTAAAAAAGTGGAAAAAGTTGGTAGAGGGATAAAGTAAATATTAAAAAGCACTAATAAGCAGAGGAGATAGAAAGGATTTTCTTTTTTTTTTTTTTTTTTAAGATTTTATTTATTTATTTGACAGACAGAGACCACAAGTAGGCAGGGAGGCAGGCAGAGAGAGAGAGGAGGAAGCAGGCTCCCTGTTGAGCAGAGAGCCCCATGCGGGGCTCGATCCCAGGACTCTGGGATCATGACCTGAGCTGAAGGCAGAGGCTTTAACCCACTGAGCCACCCAGGCGCCCCTAGAAAGGATTTTCTAAGAGTACTTCCCATCACTGTTAATCACACCACTTACCCATTTAGTCAGTGGCTCGGATGACAAGCCTGGGAGTCAGGCCAGACTCTTTCCTATCCCTTTCACTTCACATCCAGTGCTGCTAGACTCAGTTCTGTGGATTTTTGGATTGTACAGAACCTTCTACATCCTCTTCCTCTCTGACATTTTGCCTATGCTATTGCAGTAGCCTCTTGCTAGGGGTATTTAATTTAATGTCCATGGTGCCATCATGATCTGTGGATAATTAAAGGATTATTCTTGTGCTTGAAATCCTTCGAGCAAGTTCTGCCAATAGGATAAATTCTAATTTTGTTGATGTATAGTTCTCTTCATGCTAAACCTCCAATCCTGTGTTACTTTCTCCTCGTTTCATATCCCTGTTCCTAAACTTACTTTACTACTACTTGTAGTTCCCCAGAATGCCCTGAAATTTTATATCTGTGAATGGGTTCTTTGCATTATTTTTATGTAGACTCTTGTGCCCCAACTTGGCCAGCCCCTATTTATCTTTCAAGCTTTAGCCAAGAGGACATCTAAGAAGCTTTTTCTCCTTTACTACTAAGCAGCCTTATAGAATAATGGTTTTAGAACACAGCCTTGAAATCAGACATACCTTGGTTCAAATTCTGCCTCTTTTAGTAGCAGTCTGACCTTTGACTAGTCACTTAATCTTGTTTTTCCTCAATTTCCCTATCCGAATTAAAGGGATAATAGAACCTAGTTTATAGGATAGTTGTAAGGATTAAATAAACCCCACAAACTGCAATGACAGGTGCCTAGTAAGTGCGCAGTACGTTAGCTGCTTTCATCGTTATTAGCAGCAGCCGCAGAAGCTGTTGCCTCCTATATGCTCCTGTGAGCAGTCTCATTGCTTTTCACATTTCTCTAAATATTTTTATGTTATTTATTTATACTGCACTGTATAATCCTTGCCCTTCAAGGGCAAGGATTGTGTATAATTAATGTTGAATATATTGCTTAGTATATAGGTGGTTAGTAAATGTTTAAGTAAAAGCATAAGAAGCTTATTTTATGGAAGACGGTGTAGAAAAAGGCACGGGCTCTGCTAATTATTAGCTGTGTGACTTTTGTCATTTATTTGCCTTGCTTTAAGTTTAAAATGGAAAATAACAGTACCTACCTCAGAATTTAAAGATTGCATTTCATATTGTATGTAATGTGCTTAGCATAATGCCCATAGTTAGCTGTTCTTTATTAAATGAGTTAATCTTGAATGTTAATGAGATTTGATAGCAGATCTGTTTGACTTTATTAGTTTTAAAGAGATAGCAGATCTCTTTGACTCTAAGTGGCCTACGTGAAATGAAGTTTTAAGAATGTTGTAGTTTTTAAAAAGATTTATTTATGTATGTATGTATTTATTTATTTATGGGGGGGTGGGGGCAGAGGGAGAGAATCTTTTTTTTTTTTTCTTTTTAAAAAAGATTTTATTTATTTATTTGACACAGAGATAGAAAGAGCCAGAGAGCACAAGCAGGGGAAGGGCGGAGGGAGAAGGAGAGGCAGGCTCCCCCCATGAGCAGGGAGCCCTACAAGGGGCTCCATCCCAGGACCCTGGAATCATGACCTGAGCCAAAGGCAGTAGTTTAACTTAGTTTAACTGACTGAGCCACCCAGGCGCCCCAGAACCTTTTTTTTAAATTAGCATATAATGTATTATTTGTTTCACGGGTATAGGTCTTACATAATTCACAGTGTTCACCATAGTACATACTCTTCCCAATGTCTATCACCCAGCCACCCCATCCCTTCCTCTCCCCTCCACTCCAGCAGTCCTCAGTTTGTTTCCTGAGGTTAAGAGTCTCTTATGATTTGTCTCCCTCTCTGGTTTCGTCTTGTTTCATTTTTTTCCGCTCTTCCCCTATGATCCTCTGCCTTGTTTCTCAAATTCCACCTATCAGTGAGATCATATGGTAATTGTCTTTTTCTGATTGACTTATTTCGCTTAGCAATTTCTGATTGACAGAGGGAGGTAATCTTCAACCAGACTTGCTCCTGAGTGGGGAGCCCAATGTAGGCCTCCATCTCAAGACCCATGAAATTAGACCTGAGCTGAAACAAAGAGTCAGATGCTTAGTTTCTGAGCCACCCAGATACCCTAAGAGTATTGTGTTTTATACTTTCCAACTGTAGTCTCCTTATGAGGTTTTTAAAGGATTTAAACCTAAAATGCTTAATAAGAAAATGGTGGGGTGCCTGGGTGGCTCGGTCGTTAAACATCTGCCTTCCATTCAGGTCGTGATCCCAGGGTCCTGGGATGGAGCCCCACATCGGGCTTCCTGCTTAGTGGGAAGCCTGTTTCTCCCTCTCCCACTCCCCCTGCTTGTGTTCCCTCTCTTGCTGTCTTTCTCTGTCAAAGAAGTAAATAAAATCTTTAAAAGAAAAGAAAGGGGTGCCTGGGTGCTCAGTGGGTTAGGCCTCTGCCTTCGGGACAGGTCATGATCTCAGGGTCCTGGGATCAAGCCCCACATCAGTCTCCCTGCTCAGCGGGGAGCCTGCTTCCCCACTCTCTGCCTACTTGTGATTTCTGTCTGTCAAATGAACAAATAAAATCTTTTTTTTTTTTTTAAAGAGTTTATTTATTTGACAGAGAGATCACAAGTAGGCAGAGAGGCAGGCAAAGAGAGAGAAGGAAGCAGGCTCCCGGCTGAGCAGAGAGCCCGATGTGGGGCTTGATCCCAGGACTCTGGGATCATGACCTGAGCTGAAGGCAGAGGCTTAACCCACTGAGCCACCCAGGCACCCAACAAATAAAATCTTAAAAAAAAAGAAAAGAAAAGAAAAGAAAAATGGTGAAAATTTCCTTGTCTATAGTATAAATAGAATTTTAGAAATCGTAAACAGATGCATGAACAAATATCCAATGAATCCCTACTAGAAGCAATATGTTTCGCTTTATACTTAGAAGCTTAAATACTGTCTTGGAAAGTACTCAGTATAGCATATAATGGCCTCCCAAAAGTGTGATAGAAAATCAGAACTATGGAGCTTCCTATGACTAATAGCACCAAGAAGAACAGATGACTAAATGGTAGACTATATATGGTATGAAGGGTTTGCTCCCTCACTTTACAAACTGATAAACGTTTCAAGTTTGAGCTTTCTTGATCACTAGCCTAAAGAGATAAGACTTAACTTGTGGGTTTTTGTATGTATCCATAGGTACATTTTGTTCTGGTGACCTAGGACTTTGTGGAGATTTAAGAATAAAATAGGATAAAATAAAGAACTAAATAAAAAATTTTTAAAACATAAGTAAAGTAGGATAGTTTTAATGAATGGCCAGAGTAATAAAGGTAATTGGTGGATTTATCCATGAAGGGAGGCTACTTATTTTTACTTTTGGACACTGTTTTATTGAAAACATATGATGTCACTGTAAACTTATTGTTTCTGTCAGACTATCACTGATAGTGGTTATTACTTAATTGGTTCTGGGAGAGCTAGTTCCCAGTACTTTGAAAGCATGCTCTATGACTGTCAAAGAAGAGAGGGAATCTCTCGAAGAGCTCTGTCAGACCGTGAAATAAAATTACTTGTTCTAATAGGTTATGAAAGGATCTGAAAGCTACTTACGACTTTCAGTAATAATATTTAACATAACCTCTTCAGCGGTGTTTAACTGGTTCATGATTGGAAAAGCAGGTGAGTAGATTAGGAAATAAGTCTGCAAAAGTAGGGCAGGCTTGCTGGCTTAAAATAGGAATGGAAGCAGGGTTATTTGTAGTGAACAGAGATAGGTAAATCCTAGTGTCCTGTGAGGGTAAGACCACACAATAATCTAAAAATAATAACTTATAGGTCAATAACTTTTAAGGTTTATCTTTCACACTTACTGTAGGATTAAAGTGGTCATCACCAATGTTTTCTTTCTCTTTTATGCAGACTTGCATCCGATGTTAGGTATATTTACCTAAAAATATCACTTATGTAGTAGGTGTATATTGTAGCAGGATACTGATACTGCCTCTGAAAGACTGCAGAATTTCTTCAGGTTTAGAAACTTAGTTTCAAAAATGTATTAAGCTTTTACTTTTAGATTCACAGGATGTTGTGAAGAAATGTATAGGGAGGTCCTGTACTTCCTCCCCTAGGTCTCTGTCCTCCATAGCGTCAACATCCCACACTACCACTCACTATACCAAACCGAGAAGTTGACATTGGCACAGTCCATAGAGTTTATTCAGGTTTCACCAGTTATGTGTGAACTTGTGTGCACATGCATGTGTCTGTAGCTCTATGCAGTTCTACATGTGTAGACTTGTATAACTACCACAATGAAGATGTTTAAATAGAAACATCACCACGAGATTCCTGTGTTATTGCCCCTTTGTAGCCACACCCATTCCCTTCAAGAAACCAATTTTATTGTTTATTTATTGTTTTGAATCATGTGCACACCTGGTTTGATTAGTTTTTTTGCTTCTGAGTTGGAAGCACTGCTAAACAATTTTTTATTGAAATAAGGTAATGCAGCAGCAACTGACTCGTGGTAAAAAGCTAAGTTAAAATGTGTTACCAGAGGAACCTGGCTGGCTAAATCAGTAGAGCCTGTTAACTCTTGATCTCGGAGTGTTGTTCAAGCCCCATGTTGGACATAGAGCTTACTTGAAAATAATAATAAAATGTGTTAGCAATTTTGGAGCACTAAAAGCTTTCTTAGATAATATATATAGGCTTAGAATGATAACTCTCAACTCTGGTCCCCAATCAGAATCAGCTGTAGAACTTAAAAAAAAATGGGAGAAAAATGGATACTGTGGCCCCATTTTAAATATATCTGGAAACTAGTGTTGAGTATAAAAATGCAAGTTACAAAAGGATACACAGTATGATACCATATATATAAAATTTAAAATGTACTATGTTGGGGTGCCTGAGTGGCTCAGTGGGTTAAGCCTCTGCCTTGGCTCCGGTCATGATCCCAGGGTCCTGAGATCGAGCGCCACATCCATCGGGCTCTCTGATCAGCAGGGAGCCTGCTTCCCCCCTCCCCCTCTGCCTGCCTCTCTGCCTACTTGTGATCTCTCTCTCTCTCTCTCTCTCTGTCAAATAAATAAATAAATAAATCTTAAAAAAATGTACTATGTTATGTATAGATATATTTATAACAAATTATATACATGTCAGAAGGATATACAACTACTTAATTATAGTAATTACCTCTGGAGAGGAAGGACTCAGATGGAAGTTGCTCAGTTATAACTGCAATTTTTTTTTAGTTCTTAAAAATATTTGAAACTCAGGGGGCGCCTGTGTGGCTCAGATTGTTAAATGTCTGCCTGCCTTTAGCTTGGGTTATGATCTCCAGGTCCTGGGATGGAGCCCCATATCAGGCTTTCTGCTCAGTGGGGAGTCTGCTTCTCCCTCTCCCTCTGCCTTTCCTCCTGCTTGTGCTCTGTATCTGTATCTCTCTCAAATGAATAAAAAAATTTTTTTTTTGAAACTCAGAACATATGGGTGGTTCAGCCAGTAAAGTGCCTGTCTTCCCCTCAGTTCATAATCCCAGAGTCTTGGATTGAGTCCTGCATTAGGCTCCCTGCTCTGCTCCCTGTCTGCTGCTTCCCCTGCTTATGTTCTCTCTCTCTGACAAATAAATAAATAAAATCTTAAAAAAATATATTTGAAACAGATATGGCAAACTTAGTATTTTAAATCTACATGGTAGGTACATGGGTAGGTAGCAACATTTGTAGTATTTATTTCCTATACCATATTATATAAAATTATTTTTGAAATATTTCATTAAAAATATCCATATAAAGGGCGCCTGGGTGGCTCAGTGGGTTAAGCCTCTGCCTTCGGCTCAGGTCATGATCCCAGGGTCCTGGGATCGAGGCCCAAATCGGGCTCTCTGCTCAGCGGGGAGCCTGCTTTCTCCTCTCTCTCTCTATGCCTGCCTCTCTGCATGCTTGTGATCTCTTTCTCTCTGTTTCAAATAAATAAATAAAATCTTTTAAAAAAAAATATCCATATAGGGGCACCTGGGTGGCTCAGTGGGTTGGGCCTCTGCCTTTGGCTCAGGTCATGATCTCGGGGTCCTGGGATTGAGCCCTGCTCTCTGCTTGGCGGGGAGCCCAAGCTCTCTGCTCTCTCTGCCTGCTTCTCTGCCTACTTGTGATCTCTCTCTCTGTGTCTCTCTCTGTCAAATAAATAAATAAAATCTTTTTAAAAGATATCCATACATACAGTATATTATGTGTATGTTTGGAACTTCTTTTTTCCCTTTTAGTATACCTTTTATTTATTTTATTTTGGTGCCAAGGGCAAAATGCTGCTATAACAATTATTTGTAAATGTGGAAGTGGTTTGGAACTTTGAGAAGACGCAGCTCAAGTCTCAACTTTTTGTTTTTTGTTTGTTTATTTTGTTTTGTGTTTTAGGTATTTTATTTATTTACTTGAGAGAGAGAGAGAGAGAGAGCACAGAGGGAGAGGGAGAAGCAGATCCTTGCTGAGGAGGGAGCCTGATGTGGGGCCCATCACAGGGCCCTGGGATTACGACCTGAGCCAAAGGCAGATGCTTAACCAACTGAGCCAGCAACACGCCCCTCAAGTCCCAATTTTCTGATGTCCTTCCGTAATTTCTGTAGCCACCACTTATACCCCTTTATAGTCTTCCCTACTTAGAGTCTGTACCATACAGTGTATTGTTTAACTGTTCTGTGTTCATATTAAATCTTATGATTTGAATATGAGTTATTTTTTCTACTTCAGTAGAACATAGGGGAGCCTGGCAGACTCAGTCATTGGAGCATGCAACTCTTAATTTTCAAGGGTTGAGTTTGAGTCCCACGTTAAGTGTAGAGATTCCTTAAAAATAAAACCTTTTTAAAATTTATTTATTATTATTATTATTATTTTTTTTTTATTTATTAGAGAGAGAGAGATCACAAGTAGGCAGAGAGGCAGGCAGAGAGAGGAGGAAGCAGGCTCACTGCTGAGCAGAGAGCCCGATGCGGGGCTCGATCCCAGGACCCTGAGATCATGACCTGAGCCGAAGGCAGAGGCTTAATCCACTGAGCCACCCAGGTGCCCCTATTATTATTATTTTTAAAAAGACCTTATTTATTTGACAGCACAAGCAGGGGGAGCAGCAGGCAGAGGGAGAGGGAGAAGCAGAAGCAAGCTCCTTGCTGAGGAGAGACTGATGAGGACCCTGGGATCATGACCCGAGCTGAAGGCAGATGTTAATTGACTGAGCCACCAAGGCGGCCCTTAAAAATAAATTCTTCAAAAAAAAAAAAAAAAAAAAAAAAAAAAAAGAACATAAAGTTCTTCTA